TCTCTCTCTCTCTCTCTCTCTCTTTTACTTCTACTTCCTATCTCCTTCAACCCCTCATCACTCGCAAAGTCGGTCAACGTGTGGTTTTCCACGATAGAGCCACTCTAGATTTTCGAATAGGACTTTGTTAGATCGCAATTAGTCGATCTTGTTTCGTTTTACTTATCAAGGGAAATGAAAATCCGAAAAGATTTCTAATTATCTTCGTTTCGTGTCTCCGATCCGTTTCAAGCGAATCCTCCAACAGCTGGTGTTTTATTCGCGCATAGTTAACGAGCTTTCTCTTTTTCTTTCTCTTTTTTCTCTTTTTTTTCTTTTTTCTCTTTTTTTTTTCTTTTCTCTTTTTTCTTCTTTTTTCTTTTTTTTTCTTTCCTTTTTTTTCTTTTTTTTTTTTTTTTTTTTTTTTCCTAACGATATCCTCAAAGTTATTTTATCGTTATGAAATATCGTTGACGAGTCTGAACAACTACGAAATTAATTTAGATAAAAAAAAAAAAGAAGCAAAATAAAATAGAAAAAGAAAAAGAAAAAAAGGAAAATTATTAAGAGACACGAGAGATAGGAAAAACTTGGGATAAATTAATGAACTGTAAAATGATGAATTGGGACTAAGTAGAGTAATACATATATATATTTTCTCTTTTCTCATTAGCAAGTTAGAACACCACGTAGATAACTTGTATATATATATATATATATATATATTCTTTTTTTTTAAATGCGAAAGATATACGCGTGTTCGGATATCTGATAAAAAAGAAAAGAAAAGAAAAGAAAAGAAACAAGCTTCCTCTCTCGCCCTTGATCACGATCCTCGTCAAAGAAAAAAAAAAAAAAAAAGAAAAAAAAAAGAAAAAAGAAAAAAAGAAAAGAAGGAAAACAATAAAATCATTGCAATCAAGATTTAAGAAATTCGACAATAGAGTGCGAAACGCGAGTTGGACGACAATAGTATACGCGATAGTATTCGATGTAATGTATTTTCTTTGGGCCAGGGACACGTGCCGAGCATCCCTAAAGATCGTTCGCGACCTAACTGTCCCTTTTCGAAGCACGTAGGAACTGACGAAGTTTGTCAACGCGTGGTTCTCCACGATAGAACTAATTTTCTATTTCTGTGATCCCATCCGCGTTAGTTACCCCTCTCTTCTCCTCCTCTCCACCCCCCCCATCCGTCCGTAATGCTCTATAACCTCGTCCCTTTCGAATCCCTTTCTTTCCCTTTTACCATCCGTTTTCTTCTCGTCATTCGACGTTTTTTCGACATAACAGAGAAAGAGAGAGAGAGAGAGAGAGAAAAGAGAGGAAAAAAAAAGCAACGAAGCAATCAAAACGTGCTCGCGAATGAATCTAATTCACGATTTTCCTCTCACCCTCTTCCGCTCGTTTTACCAATTTCTTTTTTCATCGATCGTTAAATGTTTTTACTTCTTTACTCCTGGCCTACCCACAGTCCCCTCCCACTTCTCCCACCCACTCATTCTCCCATTCCACCCTTCCCTATCCATTTCCTTTTTCTTTTCAACGTAATTACGCCGCACGAGTAATCTCTATCATTCAGAGGTATAAGGGAGAAGTAGAAGAGGTAGGAAGAGGAGGAGGAGGAGGAGGAGAAAGAGGAATAGTAGTAGAAACATCGAACAATAGGATCATGTAAACGCTATCGAGGAAACGAATAGTTCGGCTAATAAGAATTGTAAGGAAATAAAAGAATCGTATCGCGATGTTACGATCGGTTAGTTGGGTTAAGTATCGTATGGGCCTGATTTGGATTCAGGATAAGTGAATATAATCGATGTAGTGGTAGTGTGGGTTGGGGAGGAAGAAAAAGAGGAGGAGAAGGTGGAGAAGGAGGAGGAGGGTAAGAAAGGTTAGCCGGAAGGAAGTGCTAGTAGAAGTTAGGTAGATGAGGAAGATTGAGGGAGAGGAGAGGAATGGTTAGGCTATCCGTTTAATACGACGTATATACGAAAGGAGATGAGAATAGGTAGTACGAATTGCGGATGGGATGGTAGTAGGAATAAGAGAGAGAGAGAGAGAGAGAGAGAGAGAGAAAAAACGAGACAAAGAGTGAGAAAGAAAGAGAGAAAGAGAGAGAGAGAGAGTGTGAGTCTGCATATGTGTGTGTGTATGTGTGTGTGTGTGTATATACGAGAAGGGGGAGAGAGGATGGTTCGAAAGGGGTGGCTCGTAATATCCTGGCAAGTCCGCGGGCTCCGTCATGTGTGCTTAATCACTTTTCAGTCGACTCGGCAGTCTGCAACCCCATTATCGGCGTCTCACCACCCGGAAAATTACTCTTTTATTCTCGAACAACTCGAGTTCCCGGTATTCCGTGTACCACGATATATAGTCTCTCTCTCTCTCTCTCTCTCTCGTGTTTTTCGTTCTTTCGATTTCTCGACGACTTCGAT